GGAAAAATAACATGACAGGTAACCCAGCACCTGACAGGTAACACAGTCAAACACCGAGCAGTAACCAGTCAACCCCTGAGCGGGAACACATCAACACTGAGGGGTAAAAAGTCAAAAAAGCGGTAACACAGTCGCACCTGACAGTAACACAGTAACACCTGAGCAATAAACAGTAAACCCCCTGAGCAGGAAACCACATCAAACCTGACAGGAAAACCAGTAACACCTGAGCGGGTAACACAGTCAACACTGACGGGTAACGAACACGATATAAATAAAACCCTGGCGTAAACCATAACATGGGGGTCAAATCCCCTAAGGGAAACATCAACCCCGAAGTTAAGTAAATAGGGTAACTAAACCTGGGTAACACAACAGGGGGTAAAAAAACACCTAAGCCAAAACACCAAACATAAATAAGGGGAAAACGTTTGGGGGGTCCGAACCTGGGATAACCCGAAACACTGAGGATCAAGTCCCCAGGGGAAACGAAACTGGGTCAATAAATGAAAAAAAGGGCACTTTTGTTTTCTCCCATTTAATTTTTTCAGGTTTTAAACCTCTCTAGTTTTTCATCTAGCACATGAATGTTGATTGTAATAAAGGTAGGTGTTACTCACCTGTGTTAGAAAACCACAGGTGTTGTTTAGAAAGACACGTAAGCAAACACTATAACATTTATTAAAAAACCCGTTTCGGTCCTGGCCCTTTGATCACTTAAATCACGAAGTGATCAAGGTCCCAGGACCGAAACGTTTCTAATAAATGTTACAGTGTTTGCTTACGTGTCTTTCTAAACCAACTTGTCGGTATTTATTACCAGGGTTTTAATACCACAGTTGTTCTACCTTGTTAGACACCACAGGTGTTACTCCCCTTTAGACACCACAGGTGTTACTCACCTGTGTTAACCCACGGGTGTTACTCCCCTTGTTAGACACACAGGTGTTACCACCTGTGTTAGACCCACATGTTCTCACTCTGTGTTCCCAAACTGATTTTCACATCCCCTCACCCCCAACAACACAAGTTGTTCTTTGTGGGTTTATAAGTGTCACGGGCAACTTACTCAGTATCGACTCCGCCTTCCCGATGTTCAACTCTGGCTTCCGATTTTCCCCACTCTAATTTCCCCGATGTTCCACTCTGGCTTCCTGATGTTCCACTCTGGCTTCCTGA